AGGAACGGGTGTCCCAATGCTTCTATACACAGAAGCCAGTAAAGTGAAAGCTTCTCTTATTCCGCTGGAATATAGAAGACCAAGAGAGACTTTGATAATGACTTGCAGTATCTCAAGCATCCCTCGAAACCTACTGCGTCACTTATTCAACCTTCATTACAACACCGATCTCAGAGGACACACACAGAAACTAGGCCTAGAACATAGCAAGTTAGATACCCGGCACAACTTCTGTTCCATAAAATTTGTCTGATCTTGGATTGCTCTTTATGCAGAAGTGGTCCAGGATAAGTTGTCTGACTCTCTTAAATGTCGATCCGACACCTATTTATGATGTGAATGGGGGCTAAGTTATAACTAACTTGTCATTTCTAGTTTGACCACCATCTTTTAGTCTTTTTGTTTTTTACACAGGTTAGTAACCAAAGCAACCGATGCCCCACTGCTTCTGGACACGAAAGCTGTTTCAGCAAAAACCTCTTTTAGTTAGTTGCCAACTATCTGGAACTACATCATAGGCAATGCAAACATGAGTTAGAAATTTCAGGCTAAATTAGTTGCCTTAGCTGAATTGTCTACATCTACAAATACTTCTCCGTTAATGAATTGTGAGCCAGTGTAATTCTAAGCCAAAGAATTTTGTTTCTGTACCTCCCGGACACTTTAAAGGTAAGATAAGTCATCCACGGAAATAGATATAGGTAACCTGATATGCTTTCCTTATTTATTGCTGATCGAAATGTAGCTGCTAAAACATTCTCTAGTTAGTAGAATATGATTCTGTCTTTTTTAAGCTGTAAAAGCTAAAGCTGTTTATTTGTGAACAGTTAATCGCAGTAGGTTTGGTCCAGAACGTAAGTCAGTGTCTCTTTATCAGTACCCAACACCATCAGTGCAAATATAAGAAACTGATAGCTTTTGATCACTCGCATCTAGTTCTTGGCGCTTGGTTCTTATTGCCCATTGGTGCCTTTATGGAAGCTGTAGAAGTGGAAAACGGTAAGTGAGATGTTTTCGAAGAATAAAAGTGGATGGCGTGAATGTAGTTACTAGAGAGTGGTCGACAGACAAAGTGGGCAACTAGGAATAAACAGGTGGTAAGTAGTAGACAAGAGGAAGATATAAGTGAGCTGGCAAGGTCATTGAATAGGTCGTTGGTAAGCCATGTGAACTAACATAATTATCTAATATTATTCTAAATAAGCCCACTAAGGTGGTTGTTAGTGCATCCCACAGTAAAGCACTCCATTAAACATACTTCCAGTGCAACGAAGTTCGATCTGAACCTTACGTTGGGTCTCTGGCAAGCTATTCTAATGAGACTTCCTCATGGTGACCACCATGTTGTAGGTAAGGTTGTTTATTTTGCTACTTGGTTGATCAGTAGCTTTGTAGGCCAAAATCACGTCACTCCTCCTTCTACGTTAGCTTAAGGTAAATAGGCTTAAGTGCCTTAGTCCGTTAGAATGTTTTTTTAGTTCGGCAGCACTTTGTCGTATGTCTCTTCACTTTCTCAAGGAGAATGGAGTTCCTCTTGAGTGTCGCGGGTGCTATCATACTGAGGAACTCCAGATGTAGCACTGCATAAGATTTGAAAGCCATGAGAGATAGTTAAGACTTGAAAGCACCAAACTGTCGATGAAGAAAGTGTAAAGTGGGATTCTCTCTGGCTGCCACTCCTTTTTAATCGTAGTTGGTGTTTAGGGTGTTGGAGAGGTTGAGGCTCAAATCCTTTTCCTTGAGTACTCTGGGAGTGGTAGGGTTGCTAAACATGTATTCTTATTTGGTCCTTATGTGCATTACTTTGAACTTCTCCAGGTTGAGGTCAAATTTGTTCTCTGATAGCCAGAGTTCTAGTTGCTGTAGGTAGTTTTGGAGTACTTCACAGTCAGTCTTCTCATCTATCACCTTCAAAATTTTAACATCAAAAGAAGAGGAACAAGGAAGTCTTTTATGTGAGACCACCGACTGAGAACAGGAGCAAAGGTGACCCCTTGATCGCTCCCTGGGATACCCCCAATGTTATTAACCTCCATTCTGATCATACTCCATTCACCCTTGTGCAGTACTGTCTGTCTTCTAGATACACTTTCAGTCAAGAAAGCAGTGTTCGTTTAGCCTGCTAACTCGAACTTGTGGAGTAGGATTTCGTGAGGGACATTGTCAGGTGGTTTTGCTAGGTCGATAAAAATAACATGGAATGATTTTCTGTAGTCCTACCTAAACGTCCAGTCGTCTCACGCAGACAGCAATTTGGGGCACATGAATAACTGCTTCAAAAGTGACAATGAGCAGAATGAACAGTGTTTTTCTTGTTGAGGAACATGAAGCAGTTTGTCCCTTTGGTGAATTTGCATAATGTAATACGAAGACTGAGGTTGTCCGATAAATGTGATGTATTTGTGCAACACATTTTGAACAGTCTCATTACACATTTACTTGCCAAGGCATTTTATATGAAGGGTGAAAATAGAGTGGGGTAGGATAATACGGAATTTGAAAAGTATAGGGATAATAAGGAGGAATAGTACAATCTTACACCTCCATTGGCATTGAAACTAAACATAGGTTACCAATTTGCACTTGAAACTTTCTCTACAACCTTTATCTCATTTTGTTGCCAATGTATGTGCGAAAATTTATTGCTGCTCCTTATTATCCCCATGCTTTTCAGATTCCTTATTTTCTTAAGTTATTTATCCTACCCCACTCTATTTTCACCCTTCATATAAAATGCCTTGGCAAATAAATAAGTGGTGAGACTGTTCAAAATATATTGCGCAAATACATCACATTTATCAAATAACCTGTATCTTCTTCAGATGGAGTTCCCAGATTCAATCTGTTATCAGGTTTCCCAATTGGCCTATAGTTATTAGGGTTTTTTATGCCTTCCTTTTTGAAATGGCTGAGATGATATGCTTTCGCTCTTTATGGAGTCTCTTTGACTTTAGCGAGTACTTGAAAAGGCAACAAACTGCTTTTGCGTGCACCCGAAAGCAGTTCTTAAAGACAGTCAGTCTCAGGTCATCACAGCCAGACGATTTGTTTGGATAGCTTCTCTGATACTTTTCTCCATGTGACTGAGATGTGGCATAAGTTTTCATTTTAATTAGTCTGATCGGTATCTTTTGTGTCAGGAGTGCTAAGCTGTGCTTCACAGTGTGTGCTTGAAAGCTCAGCTTTCTCTAGATTGCTCAGTACACCTACAGTTGGGGGCTGTTAAGAGATTAACTTTTTTGCTAGTAGACTTCCTTCGGGAGATGAAGCGATGCAGGCTTTTTAGTTTAGTTTACAATCTTCTCACCAGGTTTGGTTGATAGTTAATTCTGTCACTGCGTACTCTTATGTTGCACTGATTATGAATTCTTTTCTAAATATAGAAGATAGACTCCTTGCACGATCCTAAATTCAACATCAGTCGTACTAGAGAAAACTCATAATTTTGAATCTTTGCGTCTAGGTCTTGGGGATCGGTTTTTATTCTATTAAACTCCTTCGATAAACTTGGAGGTCTTTTCAGTTTACCTACCTGACTGTCCGCCAGAAGGCTTTCCTCTACATATTGCAGACTGATTTGTTTGGGGGAGCAATGGAGCTGATAATAAGCTCAATTAACCTTGTTGCAGCTCTTGTCTTTATAGGTGCCTGTAAGTATGAGATGCCATTCAAAAGTAGTACAAAAGACAGGACGATTAGAGAATGAAAGAAAGGAGTAAAAAGTATTTATGGAAAATAAGTGTTACTTGCGGTAATATAGAGAGGATTTGGTCCATAGCGTAGACACTAAGATTAGGTAACACAGGGATGGATGGTCGTTTTTGGATGGTGAAAATAGGAGTGGCTACACAGTCTCTCTTTAAGAAACTCCCGTTATCAAACTTATCTGGGCTGATGGAATTCGGTTTAATTCAGTACAGAATCTTTTTTCCTATAGAAACTCTGTAAACCATAAAATGAGTTGTTCAAAGATGCCCAATTCTGTGAGCATGGTAAGCATAGTATGATTTGAAAAGCTATCAAAAGCTCTAGTCCAGAAAGATAATGTGAACCAATTGCTGTTACAGTCATCTCACTTGAACGATTTCTGTTTTTGGCCCTGAATGAATTTTCCATTCTGCGCTCTGGCTGTGAGTCTCGCACTGAAGGTTCGTGTATCTCCGGCACACAGTAACTGATGGCCTTGAGGAATATTTCCTTCAACTGTATCCAGTGTTCGTCTGTTGCTAGACGGTTCCAGTCTTCAGGCCATAATACACCCGTCAGGTAACCTCTAAGTGTCCCATAGTCTACCTCTTCCTGACAGAGAAAGGTGTTTGGTGTCCTTGGTTGCAGAGTCTCCTTAGTAATCATGGCGGTTATTACTGCATGATCGATGAGACCGATAAGTGGCTGAACGCATGTCGTAATTGGAAGGATCCTTTTTCGTAACAACAAAGCCCAGGTGCAATGCATTACCGTTAGATTAAATTTCTTTAATTTAATCTTCTGCTTGTGATCGAAGGATCTGGAAGCGTATCTCCCGTCTGGAATTTTGTTGAAGTCACTGATGTTGACTACGGTATCGCGATCTGCAGAGATTGTGGCCGCAACTGCGTCGGTGAACATTCTCTCTTGATCAGGAGTTCTAATAGCAGACCTATTTAGAATAAGTAGCAAGCATCTAATGCGATGGAGACTGAAACAGAATTATAGAGTTCGGGAGTTGGTTGTGAGCTGCATTGTTCACCGCTTTTGTCTTCAAACACATGCATGTGTAGAGATACCTATCTGCATACGTATGTAGAAAATTCGTTGTGCAGAATAGCGATATTACTTTTCAGATCATATTGTCTGTTTCGTGTATGCTTCAACGTACGCGTTAACTGCTTAACAGTTTCATAAGATGTGTTGTTTCACTCTAACATGATTGGTCGAACCTTATCAGCTGGTTCAAGGTCGTTCATGTCTCTCTTATTGGTTAATTGTATAATATAAAGTCACGGTATGAGCGGGCCTTTGATATTCGAGTTGTGGATGTCTTTGGGTTAGCTGTCGTCTGGACTTCTGATTTGTGACTGTTGATAGACCTATGAATAAAGGCACGACATCAAGCGATACACCAGTTACTCGCCTTTCAAAAATTCTATCTAAGGCTAATTTCCTTGAAGCGTCCAGAAAGAAAACAGGACCGAAACGTGAGTTCCTGTAGCTTTACCTTTCATGCTTTTTTAGTGGATCATATATCAGAAATCGTACCTGCAGACATAGATGAGAGGTATGTTGCCATATATTTTATATAAATGCGTTTAGTGCAAATCAAGAGCCCCCTACAAAATCTTTATGGGCTGATGGACAGGAATTCTTAGTTCGTGAAAGTTCTAACAGCTGTTCTTCCGGTTATTACAGTAACGCCACAACTCGTTCTGCTCCAGCTTCGTGCATATCTGAACGCGTAAGTCTAAGTCCATTCCCTTTTAACCACTCAAATTGTCCAGGTCTGTGAGGTTGTCACATCGAAAAGCGACCAGCCTATTACCACAGTTAGTGTTTGTGAATGTACCGAATCACTGACACCAACCCCCAAAAAACTACGCAGAGCCCACTCTTGCTCAAGTAGAGGCTGGCTTAATAAACGACAACGTCGACAACAGTGGCCACGAATATCTGGGGTTTCTAGAGATAAGGATGGATGCCTATCTGTTATGAATTCTGATACTAATTCATGTCCTGCTGTTATAAGTAGTAATGCTAATCAGTCAGTTTTGAGACGTTATTCTTTGCCACCTGTGGGAGAACTGGGATCATCAGGGACTTCAGATGAATCACCAGGTCAACCGAAATTCATGAACCTTTTATCGCCATCAAGAAGTCCTAGCCCCCTAAAACAAGAGTTGTCTAGCTGTTCAGTTTGCCCTGCGTTCAAAAAGCAACGTATAGATTCCCCTTTTAAGTCTGATCTGGATGCTACTTTACCGCCAGAGGAATTAAATGAAATTTCTGATCATGACAATGTTGGAACTTTATTTACAAATGTGAACCTTGGTCCGCGACCATTTTTTGATCTTTTACGTCATCACTCAACACCAATGCCACCTTCATACTCTTGCAAGCCCTGTCCAAACTCTCCAATTGAAATTTCTGATGAGAATATGGGCAAACCAATTATTTCTAGGTCCCTTTCTGAAGTACATTCCATTTCATACGAAAAGGTCAGTATACCCTGATTATATACTTTTTAATGAGCATTCTTGTCAATACTTTATTCATCAGTACATTACTGTGTAACACTGAGTATCTTGTGTTGTCCTGAAGCATTCAGTGATGGTTCTTTTTTGCTTAGGTTAGACATTCAGCCAACGAGTTACAGGTTGGAACCACGTCCTACGCTTTTAACCTTGACATCTAGGTAACGTTCTAAGCTTTCATATGCTGTCGTAAAGCCTAATATATATATATATATATATATATATATATATATATATATATATATATATATATATATATATATATTCTTTACGATTTATCAAGATTCACTATTTTTTATGGAAGTATTTCTCATTTTGTCATATGAAATATATGTTCCACATAAAGTAATTGCTAGGCCGTATTTCATGACTAATTACCCTTGCCAAACTGCAAATAGCCTTAACTACAAAGTCACTGTTTGTCACTATCTCCAAAAGAGTTGAATTAGTTTTTTCTAACTGGCTTCTGTGCATATAAGCGGTAGACCACTGAATTTTGTTCATTGACGTCTAGATAAAACATATCTTAAATAAATCAATAGATAAGGACAGCTTCATAATTTGTTTTCAAAAACCTATCGTCATTCGATAATAAAATCTCAACCGCGATATAGTTCACCTTTGGCTTTTGAATTCCCCGGCTCCATTTCTTAGTCTTCCACTCGACCAATACCTGCTACCTTGACGTGGTGGTTGGGCTTGCATATCACAATGACTCAACGACCTACGCTGGTGGAACACTTGTTCCCTCGAGGTCCTACCATACCAGAAAGGTCTGTTGGGTAGTGGTAAGACAAAAAGCAGTTACTGTTGTGTTGTAAATTGCTGCATTATGATAGGAGTATGAGGGCAAAGTCGTACCGCAGCTAGCTGGATGGGGTGTGACAGCAGTGAGGTGTTCCCCTTAGATGACCAGCAGTGCCATGCTGATGCTACCTTCTTAGGTAGCTACCTTCTTAGTGGAAGGGGGGTTAGGAAAGATAGGCCCCCCACTCCACCATGCCCCATGGTCTGCCGGGCCGGCGGTGTTGGTTCATTTGTTGTTTCTTTTCAACCATCCGGCCCCAAAACAATAAAAAATCAAAATAATCATACTCAAAAGGCTACGTGTGACAGGCCTCAAGCAGATATCCGATGGTCTCTGCGATCACACAAATCTCTTTCAGGTACCTTAAGAAGAAATAGCCTTCCATGGTGTGTGCAGCCGGGAAGTGTTAACCGCCCTCACAACTCGATCAGCACTGAAGTTTCTTAGTCTTCCAAATGAATCAGGCTCTAATGCATTTCTGGAAATATTGTACGAAATAATTTACTTTGTATATGTAGGTAACATCTAACCTCCGAAGTCACCGTTGGTTCATGTAAAGGTTCTATGCATCAGCCAGTGTCCTGGAGCTAAGAAGTGCTATTGAAGCACAGTTCGTTACTTCTCAAGCCATCACTCATTTAACTTTCTACTGCAGTCTAGGCAATCGAATAGCATTACAAGTGCTGAAAATAAGTATCACATAGTCTTCTATGCAATCATCTCTACAGGGTCGATTCGCATTACTTATAAGTAATTCAAATATAATAAATGTTGCCATCCGCACGTACTATGTGCATGATTACGCGCTTGTGTTAATAAGTATTACTGATTTCTCTGACAACGTCAACAAACTCAGGCTCATCTGCAAGCGGTAATGGTTGTTGGCTAATTAGTCGTAGCATAAACAATACTCTGTCTTCAACTAACTAAAGCCGAGCAGGCGCAAATGTATACACACATTATCCTCATCTTAACGACACTATACCAAATCTCGCCATTTTGTCACTCTTTTCTTTCTTCTCGTACTTTATATTTCTTTTGACTGCATTCACTTATCTTCATCCTTCACCTCACTACCTTTCTACTTGATGAACTGACGTGAGGTGTGGCAACTCGGACCGTTACGCAGTAACGCCTGGTCCTATGTTGATATTGATTGATTGATTGAGATTGTTAGTAACCTGGAAAGATCAAGGGTGCAACTCCGACGGATGATGCCAAAGATGACTTAGTATCTTCTGTTAGACTTACTAGTGTTAGCTGACATGAGAAACTTAGAATCACGTCCGGTTTGTTTGAGCAGCTGATTATTCGAGTCCTCGAAATGGCGAGAAATCCTCCCGTGATGATCACAGTGAGATCAGTCCCACCAAGATAGTGTTCAATATTTTAAGTTTCCTAGCTGTCCTGCTCTCAGGTGGAGCTCTGAAATGACAAACCCAGAAAAGTGAGACGGGTTCCCAACCGTAGATGTGTTGATCTGGCCTTTAAAATAGATATGTTGTTTCGGTTAAACTAAAAGTAGCATTTGGTTGTGTTACAGCACTATTTCTTACCGGAGTGTTTAGGAAAGTACATGACTCTACTCCCGACCGATAGCTGCTACCTTAACGTAGTGGTCGGGCTTGCATATCACAATGACCCAACGAGCTGTACTGGTGGAACACTTGTTCCCTCGAGGTCCTGCCATACCAGAAAGGTCTGTTGGGTAGTGGTAAGACGAAGAGCAGTCACTGTTGTAATGTAAATTGTTGCACCATAATGAGGGTTCAGGGACAAAATCCTACCGCAGCTAGCTGGATAGGGTGTGACGGCATTAAGGTGTTTCTCTCAGATGACCAGCAGTGCCATGCTGATGCTGCCTACCCTATGGGAAGAGAGAATAAGAAATATTGACCCTAAAATAAGACTACTCTGTAGCATGTCGTTGCTGGCGACTTGTGTCCATATTTGGATTCAAAAGTAGCAAACTTGTCAAAGGGCCGTATGTGACCGGCCTCAAGCAGATGTCCCATGGGCGCTGCGGTCACTTACTAACCCTTCTTTTTCAGGTACCTCACGAAGAACCAACCTTCCACGATGTGAGCACCCAGGAAGTGTCAACTGCCCGTAAGTTTTCAGTAGTTTACAAGATTCAACCAAACAATATATCTTCCTCACATGTTTGTTCCTTTATCTTCTCCTCCTAGTACCAATATCAAACCTCTCACAATTCCTTCAACCTTTCACTCTGCTACCACATGACTCTACTGACAGCTTTTGTAGTCGAACACCTGTGGTCGTGTTCGAGGTTATGGTGGGCCATTGTGTGAGGGTTGTCTTGTAATGTGTGTACACTGTCCGATTCTGCTTAGATCTCAGAAATGTTTTCGCTTGCTCGACTTTACACCGCCTAATTCCCTTACAATAGACTCCCCAGACAGCTTAGCTCATGTGACGCAAAATAATATTGTTGTGTCAGGACACTTGTATAAATTCCTTGTTTGACATTAAAGATATTAGATGTTAAGCTTGTTAACTACATCACTTACTTGGGATTTCAGCTCATTTGGGTTGTTGGTTGACGAAATCTTAGAGTTGTTGTAGATGGACTTTTACCAGCTTGCACTAGTGCAGGTTACTTATCCGGAAGCTTATGAGGGGTTGTCTACTGAGACGTATTTCTTGTTTTCCTTTGTGTCTGTAAAACTTGACCACTATAGGTAGAGAACAAGAAACCACCATATGAGAACCTGGAGGTCGAAATCAGTCTCACGATTGTAAGCCTTCATTAGCTGAGCTGCTTATGATATGTTACGCATACGTATTCACCATCCTTCTTGACGAACTTTTCGCTTCAGTAGGGTTAAGTTTGGGAAAATGCAAAAATAACCAAACTAAAACGTAGTGTCATTTCATATAGTTTTTAATTGTTAGCCCTTTTCCATAATTTAACGAGCATCTTTCCTCATCTTACCAGTCTTAAATTTCATTATTGAGCAACTAAACAGTGTATTCATGCACTTCTGTCATATGGAGTCTATTCACTACTTAGTGAATTATCTTTGTCCTTTGTTATGAAACAAAAAGAAGCAGGAAAGGAATGGTAGTAGACCACGACCTATAAGTGACAACTCAAAATGCAGCTGGTAAGCATTTCAAATGTCGCATTCACTTCTTGAGGCATTCAAATACTTTTGTAAATACTTTTAAGCTGAAAACCGTTAAACACTTCCTTTCTACTGCAGGAAAAGGTAAGATCGTACATTTTGCATTTCATATTCTGATAAAAGGTGTTGGTATTTCTGACCTGTTTGAATTGAATAGAATGGGTCCATCAACCTTGTGCATGTTCGTGCAGTAGGCAGTGAACCACATCTGTTATGTGGGGGCTAATGCTACTACCTAACTGCCCAAACGTCGATAGGTGGAGTGAGGCTCGAACCCGTAACCTCCTGGTTGAAAGTCATCTCTCCAAACCAATGAAGAATTGATCATCTAATATATCATCACCAGATAGTTCATCAGATGTGAACAAAGCAGGTTGAAGTGAAGTTCAGATCCTCGCAGTGTTCAACAACGTACAGTTTTTACCCGAACATATAATAGCGGAGATATCGATTACAAATATTAAGGTAGGTTAGCTGATCTCATGTTCTTATCAGCAAAGACTTTGTCTTGACGCTCTATACATTTCTAAGTGTTAATATTGTTACTAATACTTCACTATATTTTCCCTTGCGAACTTCGCTTCGATGTACTAATGCATTATTTGCCAACTTCGATCTTCATTTTCTTGGCGTATCCTTTGTGTTCGTATGAGTTTTGTTGATCAGTTCTATTTGCTTAGATATTTTTGATTAAAATGGCTAGACTACGAAATTTCGAAGCAAAGCCAGAAAAAAGTAACATTGACATTTATTCTTCTGTTAATAGATTACAAGATGCATGAGTTCACTGAGCAGTTACATTTTGTGCAGCGATGGAAGGCGGGCGCGAGCATTACCTGTTGTGGACAGAACTAGCTCAGGTTTACATTGTGTGTCAGCCGATACAGTTGCTGAACTGGTATCGGGTAACAGCAAACGAAATATTAATTATGTTATCGTGGATTGCCGTTTCCCTTATGAGTATGAAGGAGGACATATAAAAGGAGCAATAAACATTTTTACTCACAGTGATATTGTTCAAGAAATATTCAACCGTGTTCCGGCACAACGACCACCTGGAACATCCGGACCTCCACGATATCTTGGAGAAGATTTAGCCCGCAGACTAGCAGTTACACAACGAGAACCACTCTCTGCACCTTGTGAACTTATATCTGATGATGATGATGCTGATGATGATGTTGATGAATTACTCGGAAACACAACTTCAGAAGTTTCTGATTCAGACCTGCCATGTGCTGACGATGACGTTGTTTTAGAGGCGGATCTTCAGAGCGACAGTCCGAAATCAGAACCAGACCTAAGCTATGGTAGTAATGGAACATCTAATTCAGGCGAATCAAACAGTCAAGATTCTCCTTTTGTGGTGATATTTCATTGTGAATTTTCCTCTCAACGGGCCCCTGCATTGTAAGTTCCTATTTTCTTGATAGATCAGCTCATTTTGAACTTCATTTTTGTTTTGTTCTTCAGTTTTCAACGTTACCTTGTAATTTCATACTTTGTTATAGTTAGGATAAATAATATTATGGACTGTGCCGTAGTCAATAGAGTATTCGCTAATTGATTCAGGTCATATGGATCAGCTCGCTCAGTAACGTTAACTGCGTTCATTCAGAGCGAGATTACTCAATTTAAGTTCATTGTCATCGAATACAATGGTAAGATGAGGTGCCACTCAACAAACGGCTTGAAGTTAACTGCTAGTTGATTTGGAATCAGGTTTGAGAATTGTTGGATCAAGATATGGTGGTAATCAAAATTATTATTGCAATCATATGTTTAAGGATATGTAAGCCTCCTTAGTGAAGTTTACGCTAACCACTTCTGAAAACCAGTAGTTAAAGATTTGACGTAAAATTTTCATCTGATTTAGGCATTCGAGAAGCATGAGCTCTTGAAGTAAGTTTGTAATCTTCGCTCACACATAGGAGATGCGTACAAATGAGTCTAGTGATGAGTCGAAAACCAGCACTGTTCTTACTTTTGAAAAGTACGTTTGTTTACGCTGACCTGACCTTTGTTTTATCCTTATTTCTTCCAATTATTGTGTTCTGTTTTGTTTACGCTGTGCATTTTAACGAATTAAAGTGATGCAACTTTTTATGAACTTCAGTGTAGTTTCCCGTGAATCATAATTAGTAAACAGGGATGGAGATGTGGTTCGTTGACCTTGACACTCTACCGTTAAACTGTTTGTTCAGGGTTCAAAGCTCATTCTGTCTACTTTAACCTAATTAACTAAGTAGTGTAATCACCTCTGACATAATTGTGATTTATAGTCTGTTGTTGGTACATTAACATGTACCGGTTTATTGTTGTATTATTGGTCGAGTTTAAAATTCGTCCAACTGCTTAGAATTAACCGGGGTTTTTTAAGATCTTTGGACTGTCATTGGCAAGCTTTTACATTTTTTTCACTAACATCGCTGACAAGGCTACCATTTTCTTCCTTTTCAAAGGGCTGCATTCCTCAGAAGTGTGGATCGCGTTTCTAATTACCATCGATATCCGTTTCTTTATTTTCCGGAGATCTATGTAATGAAAGGTGGTTATTCCGCTTTTTACCGAAAATTCTCGGTAAGAATAATATGATATTTTGTTATCAATTTTATTCTTAGTCATTTTGGAATTCAACAAATTTAAAAATTATTTTCTACACATTTTTCTTTGTATTTAGCATATGTGTACGCCTCGACAATATGTGAAAATGTTCAACCGGGACTATCGCAATGACTTACGCTTGTACAAACGACTTACACGTCGTGTCAGTTCTGCCTGTTTAGCATGTATTAAACCGCAACTAAAAGACGATAAAAAAAGTGATGCACGGATTATTGATAGCTTTTGTCAGCTTCCCCTAAATTTAAACGCCTGTTGTTCGAATGTAACAATGTGTGTTCCGCACTTGCCTCAGCTCTCTTGCAAGGATGGGTTTCATATGCCAGAATACAGTGATATTTCCCCTAATACACAAATTGAAAATAAAGAGAATTGCGCACCAACAGGTGAGTAGTTCCCACTGATAAATTTTGAATATACTTTTGTATTTTTTTGAGTTTTAAGTTGCTTTCAGAAGGAAAAATTGTGATGTTTGCCTTCCTTCCCGACTGCAGCTGCTACCTTGACTTTATGACCAGGGTCACCTGCTGCCATGACCCAGTCAAGGTATATTAACAAAAACGCTCTTTCCTTGAGATCCTACTATGCCAGGAAGGTCGGTTGGAGAGCGGTAAGGCCAAAGCAGCTAATTCCAAAAACAAAATCGTAGGTCAAAAGGCTAACTGTTTTGTGATGTAATATCAGGAAGGTTTATCAAAAGTCAACACTAGTGACACTGCATTCTCATCCATCTGTGTAAGTATTTCATTGAATCGCGGGTTACATTTCCTTTATTTTACTCCATATGCAACCACAAGTCCATTTGCTAGACCAAAGTTATTTCTAAGATTTGGGGATCCACAGTCATTGAAATAACAGGACTGGCCATTATTTAATCCTGAATTTAGGGATTATTCGAATTTTCACTTAGACACCTATTCATTAAAGCTGGCTCTTAAAACTTATTCTTTGACTTTACCATGGAATTCAATACCGAATAAGTATATTTTGATAATTCTGCAAGCTCTTTGCGTAGATTCATGCAATTTTCTTTTCAACTGAACGATTCTTTAATGTGGTTAACATGTAACCAGTTTTTCGAGATATTATTCACAAGTGATGCAACGTCCATGCACAACATCAAATTTCACTAATTTCCGTTACATTGATGCACTTGGATCAACCTATCCCAACTCATGATTTATTTGCGTCAGCAATCATATGGTATTTCTTTTAGGAAAAAGACTTCCCTTGCATTCACAGTTAGATGCTACCAAAATATCGAAGACAGCGTGTTTGTTGCCCAACATTCCACTCATCCTCCTTAACTAATGCACGAAAAAGTTTTCCGGAAAAGGATTTTCATCCTCATTCGACGACTTTAAACATCTTGCTGAGTGTGTTGTTAACAGTACTTCAGTATACTTTTGTCTTTTATTTCAATATTATGATTATTCTAAGGCTGTAACTAACATATTCATCGGATTTCTATCTTCTCAGTCATGACTAGTCCCATCTACTTATGGATGCGATATTCATTTCTGTTTGTCATGTTGTATTCACTTACTCCATATCATCATCATTATCAACATAGGACCAGGCATTACTGCATAACGGTCCGAGTTGCCACACCTCACGTCAGTTCATCAAGTAGAAAGGTAGTGAGGTGAAGGATGAAAATAAGTGAATGCAGTCAAAAGAAATATAGAGTACGAGAAGAAAGGAAAGAGTAGTGACAAAATGGTGAGATTCGGTATAGTGTCGTTAAGATGACGTGTGTGTGTGTGTGTGTGTGTGTGTGTGTGTGTGTGTGTGTGTGTGTGTGTGTGTGTGTGTGTGTGTGTGTGTGTGTATACATCTGCACCACTGACATCGGTTCTGATCCATATCACCTGGGGTCTCCAGTCACTGGTTCCTCTTGTCCCACGGACCCCAACCACCTAGTCTGCATCGTCCTACATGCCTGAAACCAACAGTCAGAGACTTCATACATTGGTGCCATGTTTTAGTCTGGCCACCTCGAGCCTTTTTCCAGCTTGGACCCACCTCAGCCAACATTGTGTGACAAGGCAATCGGTGACTCCATATTCCAATCATATAACTAGTAAAGCATGGTTTTACTGGGCTGGTAATCGTAAGCATGATAGTAGGTTTGCATTGTGACTAAACTCGATATGTATGATCTCAATCTCTTGGTATGAAAATGTTTCTGTTTAAAATGCGTTTTGTTTCCTTTTTTAATTTAATTTGGCTCTGAATTCAGTCATTATTGAAAAATCTGCCTTCATGTCCTATAGATAATATGACTGTTGAACCCAGAGTAGATATGGTCACGTCTCCCTGTTCTGTGCCTGGAGGTTACAACAAATTGTCGTCAAGTATGGTCGAAAGTCCTCTTGGTTTGGCTGAGGTAGTTGTACGTGTTGGTCGTCAAGTGATCGCAGCCACATTGGGTAGTGCTGATACCGATTGTGCTGAAGTTGCTCGCTCTTTGGGACAGGTAAAGCATCGTGAGTCATGTCAGACAGATCAACTTTTGGAAGGAAAGCCGCCTTTGCGTTGTCTTAAACGTTCACTTACAACTACTGCATTAGATAATCAACGTCAGTTAATGGGTTCATTTGAATAATAACTAGAAAAATATAATGAGATTCACTTATTCACTGCAAGTGGAAAGACTGTGGATAGGATAGAAGTCCTTTTTCTCGTGAAGACTGAACTTGATTACTATGGTGTAAAGCAGTGGATGACATTGATGCCACTATGCTATTACTGCTCGTATTCGTTGACTCAAGAGGACTACAATTTATCCGAACTCTTCGTATTGTGGGTGTGTTTTGTAAATAACTACCATCACAGAAGGCATTTAAGTAATTCGAACCCATCCATCCAAATCAACCTAGGACCAGGCATTAGGTTGATTTGGATGGATGGGTTCGAATTACTTAAATGCCTTCTGTGATGGTAGTTATTTACAAAACACACCCACAATACGAAGAGTTCGGATAAATTTTATTCCTCTTGAGTCAACGAATACGAGCAGTAATAGCATAGTGGCATCAATGTCATCCACTGCTTTACACCATAGTAATCAAGTTCAGTCTTCACGAGAAAAAGGACTTCTATCCTATCCACAGTCTTTCCACTTGCAGTGAATAAGTGAATCTCATTATATTTTTCTAGTTAGTATTCAAATGAACTTTTTTTATTCTCCGTAATTGCTGACCAGCATTTACAATTACGGATATATATATACATATTGCATTTTATTAGTCCTTTTAAAAACTTTTTCTTCAATTGGAAGTACATTTCCTCACACATGAACTTCTCTCGGTTGCTTGCTTATTTTTATTTATTACTACTGTAACCAGTGTTGTTCATATTCACCTCCTTATGTATGTATATGTATGTGTGTGTGAACGCATTTTTTAACTTGGTGATACAATTCTTTTCGTTAGTTTTGCTTATCTATTTACCTTACTTTCCTTCTGAAAGAAAAAGACAAATGTTGCATTTTCGTGATCGGAAAATTGAACTGTTTTACTTATCTGTTTTTAGTAAATGCTACTAACCAATTAATTCAGTGACAATAATGATAATATTGTATAATATACGTATGTATATTCATGTTTGTAGTCGGTATAACTCAAAGTTTAGTTCAGTCCATTATCTTATAGGGTTACTGAGTTGCATCATATGTTCACAGAATGGGTTGTTTCATCATTCACTGCTTTCCATACACTTGTTTTTGAAGGATGGTTAGTTTTGTCTAGCCTTCTTATTCATTTAGAAATAGTTCTGTTCTCCAGTCCTCCAACAAATGAGAGATATCTTCAGTGAGTTAGGGTTATTGTTAACAGATGAATAATGTTTAGGTCACTGACTAACTTGAGTATTTATTTTGCTGTTTAAGAATACTTGGCATTGAATAGTGGAGTTCACTTCTCACCTCTGTATTGATTTGCTTTTTTTTTAATACTTCGTATAAAACTTTGCTATCGGAGGCATTGACTACTCAACTTGCTTTGCAAAGCATGTGATAAGGGGTAAACTGACAGTGAAAATTACATAGATAAGAGCACGGCAGCCGCATCATGAGTGGAGTAAACTGTGATTTTGGTCTGTTATTCAGGTGTGAGATAATTGTAAAGATTGATGATATACATGCATTTAATCATTGGTTTAGAGAGATTATTTTCAACCAGTGGGTCACGGGTTCGAGGCCCGCTCTACCTAACGAAGTTTGAGCATCCAGGTATTGTCATTAGCCTTCATACAGTACGTGTGGCTCGTTGTCTAGAAGGCATGTGTTTGATCGCTGGCTGAGCAATTCTAATATTAGGTGTATTCTATAGGGAAAAGTAAGTGGGCCATTGGGTGAGATGACAACACTAAATCAAGTGAGATAGAATGTACATTGATTGGCTGGTCACTGGAGAGAAACTCATTTCATGTTATCTAGTTCAGACATAGTAAACACCCCCGAACATTCCTCACCTCAAAAAGCAATGTATGAACCAAAGAAGTTCCGTGTTTTTGGAGAACTAAGCATTTCATCGGTCTGCATCACTTTTGGCTGTTAGTTTATGTTAATTAGGCAACTGATCTTCCTGTATGGCATGTTATAAATGAGTGATTTTCAAGCATTTAATGAAAGCCACTTATAATTCCTTACTATCATTGTCAGTCTTGTGGATTGTTTAAAACAGTTTCACGTATGCATTAGTTTTGTTCAGCGGCCTTAGCACTGACTAGTTGTTAAAGATAAGCGGGTATTTTAGTGTATTTTTCTCTATGAAGAAATTAGTAGAGCCTTATAACTTCATAATGGCAGTGATTCACACTATTTTCAAATGACTGGATAAAGTTCACTACCCCCTGCATCTCGTGTTTTGACGCTTCTATATCTACGACTCAATTAGAATCAAGTAGTGTTTCTTTGAGCTTACGAATAAGAAACGCCGCCAGTTTTATGATTATAATGCTGGCAGACTGGTATTGATATTGGGTGAAATGAAAATTTGGACCGCAGCTGGATTTGAACCAGTGACCACTAGGTTTCCAGCCCGGTGCTCTACCAAGTAAGCTACGATATCCGACCGCTGAACAGATTTTTATTTCACTTCACTCATCAAGAGTTTTGTCTGACTACTATGTGAATTCGGGACGCGTTACTATCGCTTGGTCATACACTGATAGAGCACCAGGCCGGCAGTCATCACTCTATCAATATAATTGTTGGTTGTAATTTATTTAGTCAGAGCTCCCTAGTGTTTGTGCATTGCTTTTGAATCTACATAAATTTCCACCTGATCTCTGCTTTGCTTTATCAAAATTTGCATAATAATCTTGTCGGTGTGAGTATAATGCCGGATGCGTAAACGCCTAAAGGAGAGAAAAATTTTATTGGAAGGACTGTTGCTTATATTTCATGTTTACGGTTTACTTGCAATTCATATGTTAGAATATTTAATGCAATATTGTCACATATACTTACAAATTCATTCGATTATGTTAATGTATAGTGTGGAAGTAGAAATTTGTGAATGGATTATGCAACTGACATGGTCAATTTATAATCGCGCATGGATAAGAGACTAGGTGAGATAACCTGCCTGGGTATTTGATAGAAATGCACAGACTTCTAACAGCTATGTTCTAACCTCAGCAATAATCATACAATATTTTAGTTTAGGCTGTTATCTATGGAACGCTTATGTCAGTTAGATTCGACATTCACGATTATATCTATTATTATTTGTCCTCTGGGTTCCTAGTGGAACACAGAGCTTCACTAGCACGTCTCCAGCGCACTCTCTTCTCTGCAATCTTTTCAACCTCGCTCCACGACTGTCCACAAGCTCTCATTTCTTTCTCACACCACCTCCATGTCACCCTCAACTGGCACGCCCAACTCGTCGTTTCCCACACGGGTTCCACTCGACTGCCTGGCCTGACACGTGATATCCTCAATCGGTCTTCTCAGTGTATGCCCAATCCATCTCCACTTTCATCTTCTGCATATCTGTTGAGCGATAGCTTCTTGGTTGTTTCGTTGCCAGCCAGCCAGCTAGTGTTCCTTGTTGCTTATTCTTTCTGGCAATCCATCTGATCTTCAGTAACCAGCCAGCGAAGGCAGTTGTTGATGAATGTCTATAGTTTGTTGGAAATGCCTTTCATAATGCGCCAAGTATGTGAACCATACTGGTTTCCTTAAATTCCTCTTTTTCCTTTGAAGTTTGAATTTAGGTTTGAGTGGATTTGTATGAAAGAAAAGCGTTCATTTAAGGAATCTAACCATGACGCTTAAGTTTTTTCTACAAGATCTAGGTGCATCAAGGCAGTCAGCTGATATTGTTTCCTAAATATATTACTTTGAGGTAGTAGTGGTCGTGCTTGTCTACTGCAACTATTTTCTGAGGTTCTAAATTACTAGAATGGTCTGTTGGATAGTAATAAGACTGAAAGCAGATACCGTCATAGGGGAAATAGTACATGTCATATTAAAGAACGGAATGATCTGGATGAGTGTACGAGGTGTGTCGGTACTGAAGTATTTTTATACGGGAAATCATCCCATGATGGTACTGCCCTCTCTTCATCGGAAAGAGGGGTTAAAAAGAGTTGCATCCCTCGCTTTACAGAGCCTTAATGTCGGTGATGTCGCTTCTTCAAGCATATAAGAAAAAGATATAAAAAGGCTGTTTGACTGGTGCCAGGCATATATCCCTTGTGTTCTACAGTCGTGCGAACAGGTTGATGAAACCATTTGCCAGTCTACTTTCTTCTTCAGGTACGTCATGAACTTTCTTGATGAGAGTATCTAGTGTTTGTGAATAGTTTACATCTGCTGGTGCATGTGAGTGGCATGTGTCAATCAGCTGTATGACTTCCAATTTTTTTCTTTTCTATTCTTGAATGATCAAAGAAATTTCAAGCATCACGTTAGCGGTTACTAGTTAACCTCCAAGCCCTAGAAATAATTGTGAATTAATCCCTTATGAGTTGGATTTGTAGCCTATGGGTTGTAGGACCGAACTCTGTTATATCTACAGACGTGTGATGAACAGAAGCGGCTCACATGGGCCTTGGAGATGCATTATTATCCTAAATTTGTTATGTACTACTTTTAATTACAATTTCTTTGGTATAGGATTATGCTTTTTCGAAGCATAATGTACAGTCCCACTGTTTTACTTATCATGCATTATTCGGTTGTCGGTAATAGTTTCAAACTGAAGCATTCTATTTGTTTGGTTGTGGCTAGCAGTAGAATTCAGGACGTGAGTCTCTATGTAGGCATATTTTTAATGATATGGTGACTAATACCCTCATTTTGTTGTTTCTTTGTTAGTTGGGTTTAACTCGGCTATTTAATTTTTCCGGTTTTGCGCACAGCGATATTATCAGACCAGGTTATTGTGTGAAACAGTATGCAGACTCGAGGGCATGTCTATTTCTTTGTATATCGGTCTATCCACCTTATATTTGCATGTGAGAGTAAGTATAACTGTCGTATATATATATATATATATATATATATATATATATATATATATATATATATATATATATATATATGATGAAGACTATCAAGCCATTTTACACGGCATGCAATCCTCTCTTGTGCAGCTGTTTTGCGCATGTGCACGTGTGAGCTATCAGATATATGTGCTGTTCCAAGGCTAGTAGGTTTTTTCCTGATGCTTAATATCAAAATGAGGAAATTTGACCCTAAATGATTATGGGCGTATAGAGAAACCCGGTTTTTTCTTACTGTCGACAATTCTATTGGTGGATATATTATTCAACTAACTAGTCTAGTCCCAGTAGAAAACTCACCATTATCTGTTTAGCGCAGACCTTGAAAACCAAAACAATAGTCTCTTATTTATGAATCTTTTTCTTTCCGAA